CATCAGGGATATTGGCCTGTAATTTTCTTTACTTGTGGCATTCTTGTCTGGTTTTGGTATCAGGGTAATACTGGCCTTGTAAAATAAGTTTGGAAGTGTTCTCTGTTCTTCTATTTTTTGGAAGAGTTTGAGAAAGATTGTTATTCTTCTTTAAATGTTTGGTAGAATTCACCAGTGGAGCTGTCTGGTCCTGGACTTTTGTTGGGAATTTTGATTACTGATTCAATCTTTTTCCTATTAATCAGTGTTCAGATTTTCTATTTCTTCACATGATTCAGTCTTGGTAGGTTGTCTGTTTCTTCTAAGTTGTCCAATTGTTGGTGTATAATTGTTCATAGTAGTCTCTTATGATCCTTTGTATTTCCATGGTATGAGTTGTAACAACTCCTCTTTCATTTCTGATTTTATTCGTTTTATTACTTATTATGTCATGCCCTTATTGGCCTCTTATTACAGTCTTTGTTTTAAATCTATTTTGTCTGATATAAATATAGAAACTCCAGCTTTTTCTTTCCATTTACATGGAATATCTTTTCTCCAACGTTTTACTTTCAGTCTGTATGTGTCCTTACATCTGAAGTGAGTCTCTTGTAGACAGCCTATAGATGAGTCTTGTTTTATCCATTCAGCTACTCTATGTCTTTTGATTGGAGAATTTAGTCTATTTATATTTAAAGTAATAATTGATAAGTATATACTTATTGTCATTTGGTTAATTTTTTTTTTTTTTTTTGTGAGGAGGACTAGCCCTGAGCTAACATCCGATGCCAATCCTCCCCTTTTTACTTGAGGAAGAGTGGCCCTGAGCTAACATCTGCACCCATCTTCCTCCACTTTATGTGGGACGCAGCCACAGCATGGCTTACCAAGCAGTGCATCAGTACGTGCCAAGGATCCGAACCTGTGAACCCCAGGCCGCCGAAGTGGAGTGCATACACTTGACCACTTGTGCCACTGGGTTGGACCCGATTTGGTTAATTTTTTTCTGGATGTGTTGTAGTTCCTCTGTTCCTTTCTTCTCTTGCTCTCTTCCTTTGTGATTTGATGATTTTCTGTAGTGGTATGCTTAGTTTCCTTTCTCTTTGTCTTATGTGTATCTACTATAGGTTTTTGCTTTGTGGTTACCCGGAAACTTACATATAACGACTTACATTTAGAATAGTTTGTTTTAAGTTGATAACAACTTAAATTTAAACACATTCTAAAGCTCTACATTTTTACTCCACCCCCCATTTTATGGTTTCGATGTCACATTTTACAGCTCTTTATCTTGTGCATCTCTTAATTATTGTACCTATAGTTATTTTTACTACCGTTGTCTTTTAATCCTCATAGTATAAGTGATTAATCCACCACCTTTACATTATATTATTCTGAACTTTACTATATATTCACCTTTACCCATGAGACTTATACTTTCATATTTTTTCTGTTACTAATTAGTGCCATTTCATTTTAGCTTAAAGAAGTCTTTTTAACATTTCTTGTAAGGCTGGTTTAGTGATGATGAACTCCTTTAGTTTTTTCTTGTCTGGAAAACTCTTTATCTCTCCTTCAATTCTGAATGAACTCTTTGCCAGTTAGAATATTCTTGGTTGGGTTTTTTTCTTTCAGCATTTTGAAAATATCATGTCACTCCTTTCTGGCCTGCAAAGTTTCTGCTGAAAAATCTGATGGTCTTATGGGGGTTCCTTTTTGTGTAACAAGTTGTTTTTCTCTTGCCACTTTTAAGGTTTTCTCCTTGTCTTTAACTTTTGACATTTTAATTGTAATGTGTTTTGGTGTGGGTTTATCTCCTTTGCAACTTTCTGGGCTTCCTGGATCTGGATGTGTTTCCTTTCCCAGGTTAGGGAAGTTTTCAGCAATTATTTCTTCAAATAAGTTTTCTGCCCCTTTCTCTCTCTCTTCTCCTTCTGGGACCCCTACAATGCAAATGTTGGTCCACTTGATGTTGTTCCATAAGTCCCTTAAACTATCTTCTCTTTTTTTTTCATTCTTTGCTCTTTTTGATGCTCTGATTGTGTGAGTTCCACTGTCCTGTCTTCAATTTCATTAATATTTTCTTCTGCTTCATCTAGTTTGCTGTTGAATCTCTCTCATGTATTTTTCAGTTTAGTTATTGTATTCTTCAGCTCTGTGATTTCTATTTGGTACTTTCTTACATTTTCTATCTCCTTGCTGAAGTTCTTACTATGTTCATCCATTCTTCTCCCCAGTTCAGAAAGCATCTTTATTACCATTATTTTGAATTGCTTTTTTGAGGAAGATTAGCCCTGAGCTAACATCTGTTGCCAATCCTTCTCTTTTTGCTAAGGAAGATTAGCCCTGTGCTAACATCCATGCCCATCTTCCTCTACTTTATATGTGGGATGCCTGCCACAGCATGGGTGGATAAGCAGTGCATAGGTCTGCACCCGGGATCCAAACCTGTGAACCCTGGGCCACCAAAGCAGAGCATGCGAACTTAACCACTACGCCACCAGGCCAGCCCCTATTTTGAACATTTTATCAGGTAAATCACTTATTTCTGTTTCATTGAAGACTTTTTCTAAGAGTTTACCTTGTTGTTGTTTGTTTTTCTTTTTTTGGAACATATTCCTTTGTTTCTTCATTTTCCTTGACTCTATTATCTATGCATTAGATAGAAGAGCCTCCTCTTGCAGTCTTGACGGAGTGGCCTTGTGTAGGAGATGAACCTTATTGTTCTACCCTGCCCTAGCTCTTGGCTGTCTCTCAAATCTTTGTGATTGTCCAAGCAGCCTATTTTATTTTTAGTGGCTCCCGATAGTTGAGGGTATGCCAAGACCTGTCAGGGTCACTAAGGGGAGGAGCTCAGTCAGCACCTAGATTCAGGCTGTTTGGAAGCCAGACCCTCAGGCAGCAGCTTTTAAAGTATGCAAATATATATACAGTCCTGTGGGAACACAAGCATAAGTCCTGCTGACCACCAGAATCAGGCAACCTAGAGGTATCTCCTGGGTGGCAATCACAAAAATCAGGGTGCCAGACAAGTATACAAACTCCTTTCCAGGAGATGTCAGCAACCTAGAGTAAGGGAGAGGGAGAGCACAAAAATGGCATCCACCGATCTCCATCCGTGGTGTCCCTACATCAATAGGCCTCTAGATGTATGCCAAACTAGATGCCTGCTCCTTAGGCTGAATTTCCAGGTCAAGCAAATGGGCCTATTTCTCAGAAAGACAGGAGATGTGTTTCAGTCTGCTTTCTGCACCATGCCCTGGGGGTGGTAGTCAGCCAAGAACTGTCTTTCCAATTGTTACAGTCCTGTTAGACCCAGGAATGCCAGCCCTGCTGGCCACCAGAGCCAGGTGATCAAGAGGTGTCCCCTGGGTGGCAGCCACTAAAACTGGGGCACCAGACATGTGTAGAGGCTCCTCTCTGGGAGATACTGGTGCTCTGGAATGCAGCAGATGGAGAGTATAAAGATAGTACCTGCCCTCTGAGGTCTCTGGAAAGGATTATAGTCAGCCCTTAGATGTGTTTAATTAGAAGCCTGCCCCTCAGGTCAAAGCTATGAACATAAGCTAATACTTTCACAGAAAGACGGTTCCTGGGCCTGTGCCTCTTGCTGTGCCCTGGGATGGCAGCCAGTTATGAACTCTTTCACCATTGGTTAGTACTGAGAATAACTGATGCACTCATGAAAGTATACACCAGATAGCACAGTGATTAACTCTGCCTGGAGTTGCATTTTTGAGCAAGTAACTTATGGGCTGAGTTGTTCAACAAGCATCAAGTATTAACTCTGCTGGTGATGTGCTAGATGACTAGAGAATATAAAATTAAATAGTAAGAGCATTTATCTTCTCTCCAAAGATTTACAATCTTGAATTAATAGTTTGAGTAGGAATGACACAGGTAGTCAATAAGGTAGCAAGGCTGATAGCCAGTTTGATGAACTGTTAAAACATCCAATTCTTCCATAGCAGTAGTAAATATAGCTACTCCAAGTACCCTTCTGTTTGTGCTCTACCCTGTCCCCCCCATTACCATCCACAACCCCCTTTCATGATCCTCAGGCTTTCCTATGTTCTAGCAGCTAAAGGGTCGATACCCTTATGCACTCAATATTTTACATATAATCCCAGGGGATGCACTTTGCCAAGGGAAAAACATTGCAAGCCTTGAAATAGCAATGAGTATTTGGTAAACTGCAGTTAAAAGCTAGAGCATGAAGTTGAAGTTGCGGAAGAGAGGGAAATGGAATTGAAGAACTAATAAATGTAATGAAGACCCATCAAAAGATTTCAAGCAAATCTGCTTTTAAAAATGATAATTTTGCCCAACTTTAGCACATAAGTACTCATTGATGTTTGTTGTACAAACTATTACGATGCTAATGAATTATTATTAGTAACATATGCTCTTAATATGCATACTTTTTTTTGCTGTTGCTCTGTTCCTGCCAGCTAATGATGAGTTTGCATCCACATTTGCAAGATGGCTGGTCCTTGTTTGGGATATCTGCTAATGAAAGAGAAGAAAACGAGACCTCGCATGCAGAAGAGATTGGTCCAGAGACTTAGTTTCCATCAGCACAAACCTCTAACCAATGGGAAGAAAAAAGAAGAAAAACTTCATAAACATAGACTTGCATGTAGGTAATTTACCTCTTTATACAATTACAGAATCTATTATTCTAATCTACCACTTTGCAATTCGTTATTTCAGTTTTATAGACACGAACACTGAAAAAATCAAACTTGGTTGATCTAGAGGAATTTTTTTTTTCCATTTCACTCAGAACATTTCACCAAATGGTAACCGAATACTGATAAATGGGTTTACACATCAATGTGAATAGACATGAGATAACTCAGAAGTTTGGGATTAAAAAAGGCCAGTAAGAAAGGTTTCATTATATGGAAGTATTGATTGAATTGGTTTTCCATTACTTTAATTCCTTACTTTCAAAAGAGATAATATATTCCTTATTAATGGATGTGCAAGTTAAATGGTAAACACTCAACAGATACCTGAGCAAATCTGTTTTATTTTTACATGACAGTTGACTGTTCTTTCTAACTGGCAGTCATTGCATTCTAGATACTGTCAATTACAACATAATTTCTATCACTGTGTGTACAATATGTTTCTTCGTGTTCCATCTTAAGAGTAAATTACTCAATTACTTCCATCAAATATTAATTTTCATATTTCTTCAGCAGCAAGCACCAAAATCAAAACCCAACAATCAACAGAATAAGTATGCATGACAAATAATCTCAGATTTATCCCCTAGAAGACATATGAGAATAAAATTTTCATATTTCCAAAGATTTGCATTTTTTTTTGGCATTAAACCATAGGGTGTTATAACTTAACACAAAATCAGGTGCCATTTAATACTATTTAATTTTTAAAAACTCTTTCTTTAATAATACAGATCATCTTAATGTAATAGAAATGTTCTTTCACAGCATCCTTCTGTTGGAAGCTTTGCCCTTTTTGGAGGTTCCTCTTCTCCATCCCTCTGCCTGTGATTGATGGTGTTGACCTTCCAATGCTAGCAGCTCAGGGAGACCCATGCAGTCATTCCTCTTCACTCTGAACTGGCAAGCGCTCTGGAGGAAGAACAGATTCCAATTTCTGCCAACGCTCTGGAGGCCACAGGATATGTGTAGCATGGGCATGCAAAAGTCCCAGGGAAACCTGAACCCATGAGAGACACAAAGCAAGAAAGTAATTATTTTATAAGGATCATCATTAATATCTTGAAAACAGAATTTGATCCAGGTCTGATATTCCATAGAAAGAGGATGACAATGATTAAAAATAGTAAGCATTTACATGGCACTTTTCTAGATGTTTTATATATGTAAATGCCCTTAATCCTCACAACCATTTGAGGTAGGTACCGATTATTATCCCCACTTTGCATATGAGAAAACTCAGCTCAGGGAGGTTAAAGAACTTGCCAAAAGTCATTCAGCTACCAAGCAGTGGAGGCTGGTTTCAGGGCCAAGCAGTTCAACTGCAGGGTCTACAACTTTAACCTCTATCCTCAATAGCCTGCCTACATAAACCCAGGAAGCAAAAATCTGGTTTATATTCTCAGAATTTCCTACAGAGTTCCTCGTATCTCAGAGAGACTTTCCTTTATGGAAAAGTCAGAGAGATGCGAAAAAAATATATTTTGCAAAAAATATTGTCCCACCTATTGGATGAGCAGCAAAAGTTAGGTGTGAAAGTGGGTTGGCTGCCTCCATGGAAAGTACACTAACCAACATGGAACTAGTGCTCATGGAGAGAGGTAGAAAACCAAGGCAAAGCCAGCAAGGTGGGATGGGAAGCGAGGGAAAAGAATCAAGTATAAAGATCATGGCAGATGGCAAAGAACTCCCATTGGCAGAGACATACCAGGATGGCAGAGAAGGCAAAGGGAGGGAACTTTTCCTGGAGGACTTAAGGCTGAGCCCTGAGAAGGAAACACATCCGAGGGCTCCCTAGGGACATCAACTATAGAGTACAAAAGAATGTAGCAAACCTGTTTAAAATGCGCTGCAAGTCCCTACCCTTGGAGTTATCCTTCAACAGGTCTGAGGCAAGGCTTGGAAAGCCGTATCTCTTGTTGAGGGTGCTGTTGTTGCTGTTGTTACTATCAGGTAATATTTTAATGGTATTTAGAAGCTTACAAAACACATTTAGTGCCTATTTATTGAGTGCCAACTATAAACCAGATACTATGTGTCCATTTTATTTTCAAATGTTTTTCCTATAAATTGGAGCTCCATAGAGATTAACATACAACATTGCTTTCATTGAAGTTCTTCTATTTACTAGTATACGCATTCAAAAAATCACATTGCCCAGAGACTCAAAATAGCTAGATGTCAAGGGAGAGACTTCCAAAAAGATAACCAGACACACATTTAAGAAGAAGAAGAAAACCTTCACAACAACTTGAAATACAAACAAAATAAGCCCAAAGGGAACCAAAAAGCCCATGGGCTCAGTAAAGGAATTTTTCTTCAATTTGTTACTTTGAAAATCAAACCTACAGAAAATTTGAAAATGTCATACAAAAAACAGCTCTATTTGCCAAAACTTATCAGCTATTTACATTTTGCTGCATTTGTTCCTCTCTTTTATATGTGTGTATACATGTGTATTTCTACACATATACTTTTTTTCTGAACCATTTGAAAGTTCCTAACACCATGCTGAATTTACCTCTAAATACTTCAACATGTATCTCCTAAGAACTAAGACCCTTTCCTACATGAACACAATACATCATGTGCAACATGTTTAATATTGATACAATAATTTTACTTATTCTACAGCCTATATTCAAATTTTTCCAACTGCCCCACTGTCTTTTATAGCTATTTTATTCTTAAAATTCTTAATCAAGGATCACAACTTGCATCATAATTGTCATTATTTCACTTCAGTTTACATTTAGTTTATTTTAATCTGGAGTCCAGGCCAGTTGCCTTGTATAATGTCCTACATTTGTAATTGTCTGATTTTTCTCCTCCTGAATAGATTCAAGTTAAATGTTCTTGCCAGGAAGACTAGATAGTTAATATTGCATTCTCCCCATTCTATCACATCAGGAGGCACAAAATATCAGTTCGTCCCATTGTTGTGAAGTTTGATCACCTAATTAAGGTGATGTTGACCAGATTTCTCCATTAAAAAATGAAAATGATCTGTTTACAATTAATAAGTAATCTGTAGGATATTTTAAAATATGTAAATATTCTGTATGTCAATAAAATTTCATCTAATCCTTTCACTGCTCTCAGAAGTAAGCCGGTTTCTAAACCATCTAATGGTTTTGACATCCATTGATGATCCTGCCTTAATCAATTATTACATTGAGGATTACACAATATTAATTTTCTAAATTTATTATACATTTTATTTTTATGAGTTTTCATTTTTCTCTAAAAAAGCACTTTCCCTTCCGACCCCAAATGCCTCTATTTTAATATCAAAGATTCCTTTTTTAATTCAGAATCTGCTACTACTTTTTGGTTGGTTTGATGCTTGAATGTCCTAAATTGGGCATGTCTCTATCAGTCTTTGAGCATTTCCTTACTTTTTAGTACCACGAGTTGGTGCGGGCTTACCTTGTACTTCATACTTGTTCCACCTGAAATCAGATATTTCTTTAAGGAGCCTTGGTTTCTTTTACCACGGAATGCTATTTAGAAACCAAGATCTGCTACTAGCTGTGCTCATTGCTCCTGGGAGTGTCAATGTTCTATGACATTTCAGGGGATATACATAAAAAGTCCAGAACCACAGCGTTCTCCCTCACCTTCCCCCAATCCATTTTTCTATCTATCTCCCCTCGTCTTTAGTGAGCACTTCGGCTTCCCACAACAATAACACATTTACATTATCCTAAAATATACACCAAATAGTTTTGAGTATAGTATATATACTGTAACTACTACCAACAACAAACTTACTGAGTAAAAATCAAGATTTCTTTGCAATTACTTTGGTCCTTAAAATAGATCTCACTTTAAGGGTGTATTAGCAGAGTTCTGTGTTCAAAATTTATTTGAATTCATTCTTTTACTTCTCCCCAGTGTAGTTATGTTATTATTTGATAACAGGTTCATTTGTCTCTATTTGTATTCAGTTTTACAGTTTGCTTTTGTTATCCTTTTTGATTCAGTTTTATTTTTGAATACATAAACATTTCCATGGTTCAAAAGTCAAAATTATTCTGAAAAGGTGTGATAGGCAGAATAATTCCCCCCACACACACACGCACACTCCAAAGATGTCCATTATACTAATCCCCAGAAGATGTGAATATGTAATATTACAGGGGAAGGGGAATTAAGGTTGTTGATCAGTTGATCCTAAGATAACGAGACTATCCTGGATTATCCCATGGACCCAAATGTAATCACAAGGGTCCTTAAATGTAGACGAGCTAGGCAGAAGGATCAGATTCAGAGAGAGATTTGAGATGAAGAAAAGGGCCATGAGCCAAAGAATGCAGGTGGCCTCTAGAAGCTGGCAAGGAGTGGATTATCCGCTAGAGCTTTCAGAATAATGCAGCCCTGCTGGCACCTTAATTTTAGCCCAGTGAGACCTATAAGGACTTCTGACCTCCAGAACTGTAAAATAATAAATTTCTGTTGTTTTAAGCCACTAAATTTACGGTAATTTATTACAGCAGCAATAGGAAACTAATACAAAAAATATACACAGAGAAGTTCCATTCCTGTCTGCCACCCCACCTCTAATAGGTTAACTATTTTCATTAGTTTCTGGTTTATCCTTCTTGTTTTTTCAAAAAACCCACAAATACTCATACAAATAGATTATTATTTCCCCTTTTTTGCCTCATACCTAAAATAGAATTCCCCTTTTTGAACCTTGCTTTTATTCTCAACAGTATATCCTGGAAACCACTTCCTTTAGCTTCATAGAAATGGAGCCTGTGGTTTTTACAAAAGCACCCCCCCCAACCCCAGGTGATTCTGATTAACCCCATTGGGAATCTAGACCTGCCCTTTCCATAGCTTCACACCCAGAAAAGGTGAATCTAATCAACTTTACAGAATCCCTTGAATATATTCTGGAACATCCTAAGTAACCATTCCTAACATGTTAACTGCCGGAAGCCCAGATGTAAATGGGCTGTCATACTGCAGTTTTGTCTATTTTTGTTCTTGTCTGGGCTCAGTTGAGCTTGAGAACAGCTGGTCTCTATCCCCTCCACAATAACCCTTTTTAGATTTGATAGCTGCTACTCGGTTGTTCCTCAAACCTTTATTTGCTTTTCCAAGTTGTTTAACTTTTTTCATAAGGTTGATTTGCCAGTCTTTTAACTTGGCTGAACTCTTGCCAATATATCTGCTTGCTTGCTTAGTTTTAGAGCTCAGTTTGACATAGCAATTCCATTTTTTTTTAATCAACACTCGTTTTACCAAAACCTATGATTTTTTTATTCCAAATATTTATTAAGGATACTACTCTCAATTCCTGAAAAAATAATCTATCTCTATAATTATGAATAATGGTGAAAATTCTCACAGATGGATAATATCAATATGTTTAAAAGCATGATACGAGAATGCAAAATTTAGGTGTTTTTTTTAAGACTGAGATAAATATATAGAGAAAGTGCCTATTCACTCTCTTAGCTGTCTTGTCATGGATCTTTCTTTTTTTATTGGTATGTATCACATATGCAAAGAGCACAGTGGATATAGGAGGACATAATCCAGAAATAAATGGACTTTTTAAAAATTAAAAGTTACACTTCAGGTACAGCTTTGGTTTTCACAATACTGTATTAGGCAGGGTCCCCCAGAGAAACAGAACCAGTAGGATGTAGGATGTAGGGTGTGTGTATGTGTGTGTGTGTGTGTGTGTGTATGTATGTATGTGTGTGTGTATAAATATATATAGGGAAAGAAACTTATTTTAAGGAATTAGCTCACACAATTGTGAAGGCTTGACGGGTCCAAAATCTGATGGGAAAGGCCAGTAGGCTGGAGACCCAGGAGTTGCAGTTTAAGTTCAAAGGCAGTCTGCTGGCAAATTCCTTCTTGCTTGGAGGAGGTCAGCCTTTGGTTCTATTCAGGCCTTCAGCTGATTAGCTGAGGCCCACCCACATATTGGAGAACAATCTGCTTTACTCCAAGTCCACTGATCTAAACGTAAATCTCATC